GGGGGGGGGGGGGGGGTGGTGGAGAAATTTGTGTAAAAACAACTAAAAATGTCATTCTCTTTCTGAATTAGACAGATTCCAACTCTCTTATTTTAATGTAAGTGACAAGAACATTGTTGATAATTAGAAGTTTGTAGCAAAAACACTTATATATGGGAGAGCGAAGACGTAAAAAAGTAAATAAGAGTGCAATATTCAAATTATGCCTGTGTACAAGTGCAAAAATGTTTCATTAATGTTATTAGAACATAATTAAAGAATATAATTTAAAGACATAATGAATTATCATGAATAAAATAATAGTGAAATACACTTATGTTCCGTTTGGTACGATGAAAAGTTGAAAAGATGAAAAATTAGAGGGATAAATAAAATACCATGTTTGGTAAGGAAGGAAAATAGGAATAATAGAAAAATGGATGAATTAATTTTCTTTCCAACTCACCAAAATCAATTTCTCCAAAATCAGAAGGAAAGTGGATGAATAGTTAATTATTTGTGTTGAAATGTATCTTATTTGTTTATATATTATGTATACATTAAAAAATTAAAAAATAAAATTTTAAATTAAAAAATATATATATTTTTTTCATCATCTTAACTAAGGGTGAAAATTTTCAACTCAACTCAACACAATGACACGACTCAAACTCGTCATGAATTTTATGATACGAATTTGATCATAACACAACACGAACTTAAAAATGACATAACACGAGAACAAGAAATATAAAAAACTTATAATTTTATGATTCAACACAAATCTGTCACCACAAGACCGATTGTCATCCCTAATTTTAGCCAGTACAAAAAAAAATTAATCATTTTTATTTTTCATCAATCTAACCAAAGAAGAAAAGTGTATAATTTCTCTAACTTTTTATCATTCCTACTTTTCATTTTTCGTACCAAACAAAATATTAATAATAAATCTCATTCTAATATTAAATACATTAACAAAGGCGGTGCACATATGTGCAATTTTATATTGATAAATAATAGTGTCTCTTTGTATGGGAAGGAAAATGACAAAAATGTTACATATGCCTTTGCTTTCTTTCCTTTGAGTGTAGGCAAATAATTGTAATCCTTTGCCATTTCTCTTCCTTTCAATGATGGGGACTTATAATGAACACAGTCATTCAATAAATCAAAGATTGTCTTGGGGTCCAAATCATTAGATCTTAACAAGGGACAAGTCTTAATCAAAGATAAGCTGTGCATTCTTTTTAAATAAAAGTATTAGGGAATCACAACTGCTCATATATAAAAAGCCAATGATTTCTTTTATTTTACTATTTCAGTGTACTATTATGTTAAATAGTTCTACACATGATGGCTGACTTCCTCCAAATTCCCCCCCGCCAAAGAAAAAGGAAAAATTATCTGGTGTATGTCGCACATAAATTATTATATATTTTTAATTAAATATTGTCACTTATGAAACTATTGATTTTTTGAAAAAGAATTAATAAATAAGTATTGTGATATTTTTTTATTCGTCGTGAGTAACAAATGATACCACTAACAATTACTCTAAAAATTTACACTACAATGACAACATGGTAGACGCGATTACTTTGACTATTCTATTCTTACAAAATGAGACAATAAAGAGTTGGGGGGGGGATTATTTAACCAAGGCTAGTCGACAAGCCATGTGAGTAGATAGAGTCGTTTAATTTTTAAAATTATAATAATACTATTAGAAAATAACACTATCATATTATTAGATCAATAAATTAAATCATATGATTGAAGACCCTTGATATCTGTGCAAAAAAAAAAAAAATACCAGTGGTATCGAGATGGACTAAGCATTCTTCTTAGGGAACAACCTAGGGATATCCAAGCTCAATAGAAAAGTCAAGTGGTTGAATCTAATTTGGATTTGACAGTGAATGCCCGCATTTTGAAAAATTTGTAAATTTTTAATTTTAAAACTATTTTTAAAAATTATTTTCAGATATTTTTTAAAAAAATGTAAACTAAACAACCCCTAAGATTTTCAAATCACATCGTCAAATAAAAAAACAACACTGTAGTCAAAAACTATTGGTTTTCTTTTTTTGCAAAAAACTTTGACGGCCCAGGTCACACTAAGCCCAGATCACATACTCGGGGCCGGCCCAGACCAAGCTCAGGCCACAGGTGTAGCTAAGTCTAGATCAAAAATACAAGCTAACAATGACTAAGTCAATTGTTTTGAAAAACTCAGCTTACTAGTGACATACACGAGATCTCCATCTTAGGAAGGAAATTAGGGTACGTATCGCAAGCTTCAATCACTTTGTCCATTATTCCAACATCACAGAGTCACCCACTCCTGTCATAAAGGTAACGCCTTAATTAGGACTCCTTTGTGATAGCGCCTCCATCAAAGCCCGCTTTGGGTACCATAAAGACTGTACTCTCCTATAAGTATAAATCCCCACCTATACATGGGGTATCACATATGTCTCAGCATACCATATTTTTTAAATAATAATATTCTCTAACCGTTGTCGCCATTCTCAATGGAGTAGATCATTGAAACCAAACCACTTAATCTTTGTGTTTGCTAATGTTGAGCCCTCTTTATTTCATCATTGATTGATTTTACCTAAATATTTTTGTGCATCATCAAATTCTATTTTATTTGTCATCTTATCCTATTTCTATATACAACGTTTGCCTATTATTCAATTTTGAGTGTTTATATGAAAATTCTGCACTCATTTTTAAAAAAAATAAATACATTGCTACAATTTTATTTGATTGAAAATGCAATATAATCTAAAATACAAAGATCTTTGAGAGAGAAATGTATTATTTTGCCCTGGATTTTTATACCAACATTGCATGCACAAACCAGTTTAGCAGCAGAATTATGGGTTGGCACTCCAAGATGGGCATCGTAGATTAAAAATTAAAAAATCTTAAGCCATTAGTTCAGGAGATAATAAAGAAGATTTGTAAAAATAGATGTATTGAATTCAAAAATTAGCACATCCTTAAGGTCAGACCATAAGAGATTTATCCCTCGTGAATACCCTAATTCTGACTGAATAGCCTGTCTTTGACCAGATTAAAGAGAAAATCAATCAAGATGCATATAAATTGATCTAGACTCTGACCTTTGAAAAACAAAGAAGAAGAAAATTGAAAACTAAAGTGGATGATTAATGGTCAGAAAGTTCATCAATATCTCCAGCATTCAAGATCAAAGTCATAACCCCCTATGACTAATGATTCCAGTAATGGAAATCTACTTACTAGCAAAGTGAAGTCATGAAAGACGAATTCATGTTTCTAGTTTCCTTGGAAGTTGATATCATCCAGGTTAAAAGTTATATAAACATCATTTGTGATGAATATTCTCAAATAATATTGGAGATAAGTTGACATGCTTTAATTGCATAAAGGGTTTTTACAAAGTTGACGTGTCATTTAAAAAATGACGGGGGTTCGCCGTTGAATTTGACCAATAATCAGGGGGTTTAATTGATTTTTACCTAAACAAATAAAGCGGACGAGCACATGAATTTTCTTCCCGGGGGGGGCGGGGTGGAGTGGTAAAACGACAATCTAATATGCATGAGTTGGATTCCAGCATCACCTCCTCTGGTGGCATTAAGATTCGCTTAAATTATAAGTATTATATACATATTTAATTAATTCTATATATACCCCAGAGTGTCTTATGACATTCAACGCCATATATATATATATATATATATTTTTTTTTTTTTATATCAATTTTTTTTGGGAGGGAGAGGGAGGAAGAAGGGGGACTTGAACCCTTGACCCCAACAAGACAAAAAGTACCATTATACCAAATGCCCATTCGTGCATTCAACGCAATATAAACTTGTATTGAAGAGCGATAATCTCATATGCCTCATGTTCTAATACTTTGATGTGTTTTGAGATATTTGGACATATTTATAACATTGTATTAAAGTATTGTAAAAATAAAATTTTAAACTTTTTATTTGATTTCATTCTATTTTTTAAATATTTATGAAACTCTTCTATTTCTTAAGTTATTGAAATAATGTACCGAAAAAGTTTAGTTCTGGTCCTCACCTAAACCAAAAATGAAGAAGCTTGGGGGGATTGTGTGCTAGAAGAATCAAAGAAAAAAGGGTTTTTCCTATATTTTTAATACATTAAAGATATAATATAAAAAAAATTAATTTTTGAAGGTATAAATTGCGGTATAAAATGCAATTTGCTCAATGCTACATAATTTACTAATCTAATTTTTTTAAAAAAATAATATTATTTAGACTTAAAAATTTGACCTAATTTATTAACAGAATAATATAATTTTAGTAAAATAATTAGATTAATAACAAGTTTTAATATTTTACGGGCTCACAAATAATTCAAAAGTAATAATAATGAATTAGGTTAATATTTTAATAAATTTTGTTTCGATAGCATTGCTAAAAAAAATAAAAATAAAAGAGGGGGCGAAGGGAGATTGACAACCAGAAGGCGCAAGCAAGCCAAACTCATGAAGCAAACTCCCACCAAATCCACCATTTCGAACTACTACAATCACAAGAGAAATTTGAATGGCTAACAGACAAAAGCACAAATATGATGCACATGCATTCATCCAGGAAGTTCTCCGGATTTTTTGTCATCTTTCTCTTTTAACAAAAACTTCCGCAACCATATATACACTCGATCACCACGCAGTTTTTGCCACATGCAGTTACATATTATATCAATTTCTCATTACCCAAGAAAACCCACACGTCTCTATGTTCTGCAGAGTACAGACCCCAAGTTCAAGTCTGGTTTGTGGGTTTCTCTCAACATCTGTTTCGTACCCATTTTTGTTTGTTGTTTATACCAAGCAGGAAGTCGTGAGTGAATTTGCCTAGAGTGGGCTTGAAGTCTAGGGACCACCTTCTGACTGAATTTAGTTCTTACATAAACCTCACATTCAAATTTGGTGTCTGGGTTTGTTTGTTGTTTATTCATTATCGATTGTAGAAAATATAGCTGGTGCTGGTTTTGGCTAGAGTGGTCTGGGAAAGTTCCCTTTTGTTCGTATACTTTTACCCAGAGAACTTTGTGGAGTAGGATTTGATTGTTCTTTCTGAAGTTCTGAGTTTTTGAAAGGTTGTATCTTGGAAGACATTGATTGTATAAGCATGGCTTCAGTTCTAACCAATTTATGTGTAAGTACACCTTATTTTGCTTTAAATTCAGTGTATAAGCCTCGGACTCGAGTTCAAGTTAGAAGTTTAGGTAATGGGGATTCAACAGTGTTGTCTTCAGAGTCAGTAAAAGTTAACGGAATTTCTTCTGTTGGGGAGGAGAAGAGAATTGAGTCTTTAATTGATCTGGGTAAGGGGCGGTTGGGTTCGGATTTCGGGCAGAAGATGAGTGAGGAGGATGTTGCTTTTGAAAAATTGGATGTGTTGTGGGATGATGGGTATGGGACTCAGACTGTGAAGGATTACCTTGATTTAGCCAAGGAGATGATTAAGCCCGATGGTGGGCCGCCCCGGTGGTTTTGCCCCGTCTCCTGTGGGTGCCCATTAAAGGATTCACCTGTTCTTCTGTTTTTGCCTGGTAATCAATGATCACTGGTTCTAAGCTATAAATTGTTTTAGGCTTTTCACTGTTGCATAATGATTCATGTAAATTATTTGGTCTGTGTATTCATGCTTCTTGGTCTTTAAGAGGGGTTTCTGTCCATTGATATCATAATTATTGTAATTAGAGTAGAATGGCTATGGATGAAATTACAAGGATTTGAATGTTCAATGACAAATTATCAATATTTGCTGTATTGATGCATGCAGGGATGGATGGTCTTGGATTGGGCCTCATTGTGCACCACAAAGCTCTTGGAAAGTGAGTACTCACTTTATGTAGCATAGAGCAAAACTTTATTCTATGGAGCATGACTGTCCACAGTTACATGTGAGAGTGCTATGTATATCATGTATCTATTCTATCCATAAGTATTTACATGAAAGACATGCATTGGGAAAGTCTTGCGGTATGCTTGTATGAATGTATTATTTCTTTTCATTTTTATGCATATTCTCTTGATTTTTTCCAAAATTCTACCATCTCAAATATCAACGGGTCATGTAAATGTTGAGAGAAAGAAAGAGAAACATAGGAAAAAATTGGAAGAAGTTATCCTATCTTCCCTTTCAACTCTTATATATATATATATTATATGTATCTCAATATGTCTAAAGACTTCTATATCCCTCTTGGGATATACTTATTACATAAATGCCATTCTATATATTCTAACATTCCTCCTCAAACTGTTGAATATATATCATATAATCCTAGTTTGGAACAAATATTTGTCAACCGAGAACTACTTAACGACTTACTAAACATATCAGTAAGTTGATCCTCAAATTTGACAAAGGGTGTGACAATGTCTCCACGCAACACTTACTCTTGAACAAAATGACAATGTGTGTTGTTCGCTCATGAAATATAGGATTAGAAGCAATATGAATTGCAGCTTGATTATTACAAAACAGCTCAATCGAAGTCTTGACTGGGAAACCAATTTCCTCAAGAAATTGTTCAACCCATGTTAACTCACTACACATGTGAGCCATTGCTCTGTACCCAACTTTTGCACTAGACCGTGCCACTACTGTCTGCTTTTTACTTTTCCATGTAATCAAATTACTTCCCAAGAAGATACAATAATCTATAGTAGATCGTTTATCGAAGGAGGAACTTGCTCAATCAGCATCTATGCACCCTTCTAATCTAAAATGTTCATGAGATTTATACAACAATCCAAGTCCAGGAGCTCATTTGAGATATGTGATAATGTGGATATCTGCATGCGAATGTGATACTCAAGGAGCTTCCATAAATTGACTTATTACACTCACTGCATATGATATATCTAATAGGGTAATGGTAAGATAACTTAATTTCCCAACTAGTCGACAACCTTTTCCAGGATCTGAGAAACATTTACCTTCATCCACCGAGAGTTTATGGTTTGGATCCAGAAGGACATCTATCGGTCGACCACTAAGAAACCATGTTTCCTCCAAAAGAACAATCATATATTTTCTTTGGGACAAGCTAATGTCTTGTTTCGATTTAGCAACTTTGATATCAAGGAAATAACGAAGTTTGCCTAGATCTTTGGTGTAGAATTAGTGTTGCAGAAATTGTTTTAACTTGCCAATACTAACTGAGTCATCACCGGTAATTACCATATCATCTATATAAATAATAAGGAGGATATTACCTGCATTAGTATGTAAATAAAACACAAAATGATCTGTCTGACATTTATAGAGACCAAAGTCCAACACCATATCTGAGAACTTTCCAAATCATGCTTGTGGAGATTGTTTAAGCTCATACAATGCTTTCTGTAACTTGCACATAGTCCCTTGATACTCCCCCTGAGCAACAAATCTTGGTGGTTGCTCCATATAAACCTCTTCCACTAAATCACCATGTAAGAAAAGGTGGTTAAGACATTCTTCACATCCAATTGAAATAAGGGTCAATCAAGGTGAGTAACAAGAGATATTAGAACCTGAATAGAAGAGATTTTAGTCACCGGAGAAAAGGTTTTTGCATAGTCAACACCATAGGTTTGAGTGTAGCCTTTAGCAACCAGACGAGCTTTGAAACGATTCACAAAACCATTTGGATGAAATTTAATAATGTAGACCCATCGACAGCCAACAACTTGCTTACCAGGAGGCAACAAAACAAGATTCCAAGTATGATTGTCATGAAGTTCTTGCATATCTTCTTCCATAGTTTGATGCCAACGTGGATCAGATATGACTGTAGAGACAATCTTAGGGACAGACATATTAGACAATTGGATGGTAAAACAAGAGAATAAAAGAGATAGAGAACGAGAAGAAACAAAGTTACCAATAGGATGATGAGTAACACAAGAACGAATACTTTTACGAAGAGCAATCGGTAATAAGTCGGAGGGTCCTATAGTAGTTGAATCTGATGACAATGAAAAAGTCAGTGGTGGAATAAAATCTGGTACTGGCAGCCTCGATCGACGAGAGTAAGGGGGTAAGGGAAGGAACAAGAGTAGAGACAAACACAGGAGATGAGATCACTAGAACAAGATCGAACAAAGGAAGAACACCAAGTAAGGGAGATGACTTAGGGACACAAGTAGGAGGAGTAGGTGGGGTAGAGAAATAGGATATAGATTCCCAAAAGATAACATGAGCACAAGTAAAGTATCGGTGAAGAATAGGGTTAAAACAATGATAACCTTTTTCTATGCGAGAGTAGCCCAAAAAGATATACTTGATAACGCGGGGATTTAGTTTACCAAAGTCTGAACCAAGATTATGAACTAAACAAACACAACCAAACACTTTGGGAGTAATAGAGAACAGTGGAGACTGAGAGAACAACATAGAATGGGGAAAAGATCCATGTAAGACTGTAGAGGTTAAACAATTAATAAGATAACATGCAGTTAAAACAAACATCACCCCAGAAGTGGTTAGAAACCTGTATATGAAATAGGAGAGCACGACTAACATCTAATAAATGACGAATTTTGCGCTCAGCCGCATCATTCTGTTGGGGTGTATGAACGCATGATGTTTGATGGATAATGCCTTTCGGTTGGAAGTAAGCATGAAAGGGGTTAGACATATATTCTTTAGCATTGTCAGACCGTAACATACGAACATTGCAACCAAATTGGGTCTTAATTTGCTTACGAAACAATTGAAGGATGAAAAATAATTCAGAGTGAGATTTCATTAAGAACAACCAAGTCTTATGAGAATGATCATCAACAAATGTAACAAAATAACGAAATTCATTAATAGATGACTCTCTGGGGGGACCCCATACTTTGGAATGAACTAATTCAAAAAGACTAGAAACACGATTATCAAGCCTAAATTTAAAAGGCACACGATAGTGCTTTTTAAGTTGACATGCTTCACAAGACAAAGATGACAAACTACTTAAACTAGAAACTTGAGATTTCAAAACAGGAAAGGATGGATGTCTAAGACGACAGTGCTACTGAAGNTAAAAGGCACACGATAGTGCTTTTTAAGTTGACATGCTTCACAAGACAAAGATGACAAACTACTTAAACTAGAAACTTGAGATTTCAAAACAGGAAAGGATGGATGTCTAAGACGACAGTGAGGAGATAATGAGGTGTGGAAGGCTCAAGGAGGAGGCTCAAAGTCAAAATAATAGAGACCATCAGATTCATATCCCGTATCAATCTTCCTCTTCGTCTTGAGTTGCTAAAAGACACAACAAGAAGGATAAAAGGCTACTAAATAGTTAAGGGAACGAGTAATCTTACTAATAGATAACAGGCTAAAGAGAAACTAAGGAACATGTAAAATTAAAGACAACGAGAAAGAAGGACTAAGCTGCACGCTACCCAAACTTGAAACTTGTGAGGAGGATCCATTGGCAAGAGTAACACGGCGAGATGGGGTAACTGAGTGAAGGTGAGATAGTTGACTAGAAGAACTAGTCATATGATTTGAGGCTCTTGAATCAATGATCCACGGGCTAGAAGTAGAAGATAAAAAATAAGTAGATGTCGTACCTAACTAAGCGAAAGTAGCAGTGGAGGAGGCCAGTGCCTGTTTCTAGGACATAAATTGAGCATACTCATCTTGTGAGATAGTGATAACGATATCAGGAATAGGCTAATTAGGGCCAGATAGAACATTATCTTGAGAAGATACCTGATAAGCTAAGATAGAGAATTTACCATGTAAATCTCAACAGTACGCTAGTGTGTGGTTACTATGACCACAATGAGTGCACCAATGAGTGTCTTGACCTCCACTGTCACTACGTCCCCCACGAAAACTACTAGAGCCACCACGTATGCCACGACCATCTTGTCCACCACGTTCTCCACGAGAACCATGCTCAGAGACCACTAAAGCTGATCGATCACTGACAAGATCAACACTTTACTGAGATGTACCATGGGAGGGGGTAGCACGTTGAAAACGAGGGAACACATCTTAAAGAGAAGGAAGCTGAGGACTTTCTAAAATCTGTGCACGAATAGGCTCATAGTCAGATGACAAACCAGTCAAAAAACAAACAACATCAACATCATCACGTTTTTTTTTTCCATCTCCAAAACATCAAAAGAAATAGGCTAATATAAATTGCGTTCTTCACAGATGCCCATAACCTTAGAAAATTACTCTTTCAGAGTCAAGCTACCCTAATGAAGGCTAAAACACTATCAGCATACCTCATAAATATGAGTGACATTACAAGTATCAGAGTACATGTGAGTATCCAAATAAAGTAAAGAAGAACTAATGTGAGTCTCAATATTAGTCAATAAGAGAAATAATCTGTGCATCTGCTTGTTCTCATTGGTTAAAACCAGAATCACTGACGTGGGCTTATTGTCTATCAAGTGGCTATGAAGCCTTTACCCTTTAAGAAAAATATCGACAGACCACGCCCACAATATATAGTTACTCTCATTTAATTTGGCAGAGGTCAGAGGAGCATTAAAGAAAGAGGCAGTAGAAAAATTGGGTAGAGGAACAGAGATTATGGGAGTAGGAATAGTAGTGAGAGGCATAGTATCTAGCTTAGGATTCATGATGGGAGAAAGAAATAAGGCAAGAATACCAAAGAGGCTATCAAAAGAATTGGCAAGTAGAAATAGACTCTAGGAGAGATTGAACCTGAGCTGGATATTTGCCTGAACCAGAAGAGAGGCTGCTGAACTGCCTGGAACCAAAGCCGAACTGGCCTGAGAATGGTTGAATCGGTGGTAAACAAAGCAGAATCAGCCTCAGGGTGGTTGAACCACTTGGAACTGAAACAGAACTTGCCTGAAGGCAACTGAAC